TGTCCGTAATTACAGCGCGCATATCAAGTTTATCATTAAAAATCGATAGCTCATCCCGATTTTTTTATCGATAAAAAACCTTATCGAAAACCAGTTATAAAATTATATCTTCCACACCTTTATTGCTAGACTCTCTAAATTTTTTATGTATACTAATATGCAAATTACTTGTTTATATAAGGGAATAATGAAAGATTCTTTCCAGATTGAAGGGAACACAGAAGTATCCAAGGACAAGTTAAACAATTTTAGTAATTGTGACTGAAGAGAAACACTGCACTCTTTAATCACACAACTACGAATATTATCGGCACCGGGAGAGAAAGATGATTTCAATGTCCTAATGGCTGCAGCCAGAGAAGCTGCAGAAACTTTAGGAGTATTTATAGACCCATATTCAGGAAGTGAATATGGATATGAGTTGCTGTAGAGATCAGCAGAAGAATAAGTGGATTGGAAAAAATCAGCAAATAGATCAGAGGAATCCTGGTCATTGCAAGTTTTTTCACCAGCAAGGACAAATGAGGACGGCAAACCAGAAGATTTACGCTTCAAGTTTATAAACGAGTAAAATTGTTTGGGATCTCGAGCAAACTGACGTTTGCAACGTATGAGATAATTCTCATAACAGCTACAATTTAAAAGATTGAAGTTTGACTTGGCAATGGAATATTTGGACCAGTCAACACTAGAACCAGACTTTTTATAATTTTTAAAACATTTAGTTTTAATGTTTCTCAAGTTCGAAAGAGTCTTGGTAAACCATGGTGGCTTATTTGAAACTGACGAATTACGGCAGAGAGGGACACAAACATCCAGAATAGAGTTTAAGGTAGAATAAAAAAACGATGCTGCCAAATTAATATCAACCGACTCATATAAAATAGACCAGTCTGTTGAATTAATTAATTCGTTAAACAAAACAAAATTGCATTTACGATAACAGCGACTAAATTTGGAAGGCATTAGAATTAGTGGGAGGATTATCAACAGTTAATAAAACCTCTAAAGTGGGGTGATGTATATCCTCTGGTAAGGAGAAAGGAGTTGATCTCGCGACATTAATGAGCGAATCATGATTAACAAACACAAGATCTAGAGTGCGATTTAGATGGTTTAAAATAGAGCTCATCTAAAACATAGACAGGTTAAGCAATTCATCAAAAAGATAGTGATCAATTGTCGGAATAAAATAATTTGATTTACAAATTGATGACCAAGAAGTGTTCCGAATATTAAAGTCACCCAACACAAGAAGCAAGTCTCTATCATTTACATGCTCATAAACTTCTTTAATACAATTAATATGTTGAGCATAAACTTGTACATCAGAAGAGGGAGGGATATAACAACATGTGATAAACAATGAGCACGATTGGAGAGTTAATTTAACCCCTATAATCTCCGCATCATCATCGTCGCCTAGAATGCCGTGAAAGGTTTTCAGAGTGGGCAATACGAAAAATCTGATGGGGGTATTGGGATTGAAAAGATTCAGAATTATATGTTGAGTTATGGCTATCTTTCCGCCGATAGAATAAGCGATAAGAGCTGCTTTGTTCTCTTTTGCGTTGGTTACTAGAGAAGATTGTATGTAGTTTTGATTGGAACCGGTATCAATGAGGAAGTTTAGTACCTGTCCGTCCCGCGTTTTACACTCGAAGTAAGGTAACGAGGAACGATTTAGGCTTTAAAAAAATGACGTCAGACATAGCAGCCATTTCTACTTGAGTCTGGTTGTCTGTGGTTGCTTCGCTTTAGTATTGTGCTTCGGCGATACCTTGCTCCTCTGCAGTAACATAATAGGCCTGTTTACTCATACAATGCTCGTATGCCTCGGCATAAGCTTCGGCGGCGTATGCATTTGCGTAAGCGTTAACCTCGTCGTCCGTGTTCTGTACTTGCGTTTCCCCGGTATTGATATGAAACTGTCGTTGATGTTTGTACGGAGTTTCTGCCCTAGAAGATAAAGGTCTTTTTCCAGCAAACTGGTTATTGTTTGGCCTATTCATATATGTAGTTCACATTCCTAGTTCTAATAGAAGAGTCGACTTCCATTGGTTGTGGGGACGGTTGTGGTTTTGGGGCTATTGGTCTTGGCGGTACGTTAAAGAAATGTTGTGGTTGCTGGTGTATTGGTCTCGGCATTAAAAATGGATTCTGGGGGTTAAATCTGGGCTTTGGTGGATAGTACAGGTTCGGGTTGAAATTAGTTTGATTCAAGACTTGTGGGTTGTTATATCGGAACGAAGGTTGAGTAGCTTTGCTTTGATGATTGTTTTTCGGAGGTAGCGAGGGGGCTCTCATGGGACTAACGGAATTTCTAATCGACTGGTTCTCAATCGGTCGGCACAGGTGAAGGGCATGTTTAAGGTCAGTTGGCTCTTTAATGGCTAATAACCTGGGAAAGTCTCCGTTGAGACTTCCGATGAATGTGTCTAAAGCTTTGTCCCTATATATGCCTCAAATAACCTGTCCACGCTTTTGCGCCATGAAGTGACTTCTGCTCTATTCCCAGAAAATTTTTTTAAAACTCTAACAACGTTGACATCTTATCTAATAAGTTGATTCGTTCGTTCGGGAAGAATCGTCTGATCTTGCTCAATTGAAACGGCTACACCTGGGTTAAGTAATTCATCATCTTTCTGGGACAATATTTTCTTAAGGTATCTCTCTATCGTGCTCTCCATTGATTCAGCCAAAGAGGTCTGTTTTGTGGTACCTGTACTGATGGATGGGAGTATATTTTCTGGTGGTGGCATTTTGATTTTTATACCCTGAACCCATTGAAAATGGGAAATCTGGGTATAATGGTTATGTTAAAAGTATGTAACAGGCAGAAGGGGGCGTGGCAGACCCCACAAAGTATATTTATTCTTGATCAGGGCGACGAGCTGAGTCGATATAGCCCTGTCCGTCTGTCTGTCCGTCCGTCCGCCCGTCCGTATGTATGAACGCGTCGATCTCAGAAGATATAAGAGCTAGAGACTTGAAATTTGTTTTCCTATTATTATTATTTTATTATCAATTAAAAGCCTTTTCGAAAGATAGTTATTTAATTATATTTCCTACACCTTTAGAGCTAGAGTCTCAAAATGTACCCTCCACCCCTATATTCACTCCCTGACCATCACCTTTGTAAAAGGCGTATTTCAAGTACTAGAGACTTGTGCTTTAAAATGTTAATACATTTTTACCATATGATTACGCTCTGAAAGTTGTATTAATATTGTAGGTCTAGAAATTAAATTATTCAACAAATAAATTCTTATAACGTTGCCCACACTGCAGCGAAGCCCAAGCGCAGTCGCTGCTTACTGCGCAGTTAGCAGAGCGCGTTCTAATACGTGCGTGTGGTCACCTTAGGGAAATACATGCAGGATACTGCTGATACGCTTTTATTTTACTGTACTACCCATATACATATGTATGTATGTGTGCCGAAAAGAAGTGCAGAGTGTTTAAAATATCAGATTAACCCTAGTATATATGATTATATGTAAATTAGGGTGACCATCCATCCTGGAATTCCGGGACATGTCCCGCTTTTGGAGGTAATGTCCCGGCGTCCCGACCTGACACGAAATTGTCCCGGTTTTCAATTGTTTCGATAAAAAAAATTGTCATTTTGACAAAATGCAAATTGGCAGAAGTTTTTGTAGAGACAAGTCAAGAATTTTGTTTAGAAAAGCAACGCAGTTAAGTTAGTACAGTTTTTTGCAACAAACGTACATTCGTGCTGTTATTCGGAAGTATTAAAAATAGCTCAGATCCTGCATGCGATTCCAGCGCACAATGCGCAAAGTCGAAATGGTTTTTTCTTACTAAATACACAGTGGTCAGACGAAAGAAATATGTAAGTTACTGGTGGGAAATGTTAAAACATCCATATAACTCAATTTAATTTTGTGGACATAAAAACATTAAATATTGATGAAAAATTTTATGTAAATATGTTCGGAAAAATAGGCAGTGTGGATATGTATAAGTCAGGCAATCATGAATATAATAACAATTAAATATAAGGATAAATTCATATACATATATGGATGTTCTTCTTGTGGACTTAGTCCCAAGATAATGTAATTTTGCTAAATATGAAGAAAGTAAAATTTGAAATTATGTATGAATCTGTGTGGCAAATGATTTATGATTTTTTGTATATGTTTTTTTTTTTCAGGGAGAGAGAGAGAGGGAGGGGGGTAGTTCTTGACAGTCCTAGAATGGAATCCGGCCCAGATGGTCACCTTAGGGAAATACATGCAGGATACTGCTGATACGCTTTTATTTTACTGTACTACCCATATACATATGTATATATGTACATACAAATTAATAATATATATACATACATACATATATGTTATGTAGAAAATAAGCATGCACATTATTACAAGCTACATACATACATATGTGTATGTATGTATGTATGTATGTAGCTCGTATGTGCATTCTTATTTTCTATATACATACATGTACATATGTACATTAATATGTATGTATGTACGTACATACAGTAGTATTTAGATAGAGCCAATAAAAAGTGTACATATGTATGTATATAAATTTACATATACACATACTTATGTACATATAAGATACAATATTTGTGTACATATTTATGTATATAAGCATGTATAATATGTAAAAATATTTTTTTGGATTTATTGTTTTTGTTTCCTGCTAGATCTGTCATATTACGTTTATACATACATAAGTGCGTACTATCAAAAAGACTAACAAAAATAAAATAATTAAAATAACATTCTTTTCTGGTCCGTTGATTGGTCACTGTCTATTTTCTGAAATTAGAGTAAAACTACAACGCCGGATGAAACATGCCGCAATTCACTCGAATGATAATAATAGTTATACGTATGTATGTACATACATACATATGTACATATATGTGTTTGTATTCACATATTTTAATTTTAGGATAATAGGGTTTTGGCAAACAAATTGAGATGTGAAACAATGAAAATTAGCAACAAGCTCACCGAAAGTAGGAGTACACTATTTCTCTAGGAACTCCTCAGCTTCAATGGAAATATTTTGTCCTTTATAGGACCTATAATTTGTATATATGTATGTATGTATGTAGATTTTTTAGTTCGCAATATTCACACAAATTTATGTAGGTGGGTAGTATTTCACTAATACACGAAAAAAAAATTTTATTCAACTATCAATTGCGTTTTTCTCAAATATTTTAATAAATATTTATAATAACAATATTTTAGGCATTTCATTGTTAATGTTTGTCTTTACGTTGATAGTCCGAGTAAATGATGCACTCACGACAAGGACGTCCGCCGAACATGATAAACCTTGTATCCTCAGCTAGACTATATGGAAAATGGATTTTTCTGCGCAGTGGGTCGCCGGTCTGCGCAGAGCCCCTTTAGAGAATTAAATTTTAAGAGAGAGACAAATAATGTACATACATACATATGTATTAGCTAAGAGAGCAGCTTTCAGCTCACAATTCCCGTTGAAATTTCTTAGATATTTACTTTCCCTCTGCTAAAGTATAAAACCCTGGAACGGCCTCTCCATAATGGAAGTCTGCAAAATACGATTTGATTTAATAATGGAATTAATTTCATTGTTGTTATTATCGAATCGAAACATTGTAGGAAAGATAATATTAAAACATTAGTGAAGGCATTGAAATAAATGTAGTTGTACACAAAATACGAAATGCTTATAAAATATTAATGTACACATCTTTAAAGCTAGTGTTCAAATTTTAAATATACATTTACATAGGTGCATTTTATACAATTTCGATTTTTGTTATTCACCCCCTCACCCAAAATAAAAATAAAATACTTGAGACTTATGCTTTGGCAAATGCATGCATATCCATGTTGTAATCATAATCTGAAAGTTTCATGAATATAGTATGTCGGCAAGAAAAGTTATTAAACGTTAAAGTTCCCATAGTAAGCCCAGACTGCAGCCAATGTGTGTTTATACTTACTAAAATACCACTGCGGTAACTATAACCACTGACCAAACAACACATAGACTAGACATGTAGAGCAACGTTTTTCCACGCCGCAATATCTGTCTAGCAAGTCCCGGCCAACTTCGTATTCGCTCGGCTTGGTATTGGATGGCTCGGGTAATGAAAGATAGCACGACGAAATCAGTGCGCTCTAAGCACGCAAACGAAATGGTCATGTATGCGCTTTGCGTTTTTTGTCTTACTCTCCCTCTCTCTCTCTAACTCTCTCTTTCTCTCTCTGTGGGCTCTCAAATCATGAAGCTCAGCAGCGCACAAAAATTGAAATTTCTTCGCGACGGTCCCAGCTCTTTCCTTTTGAGTGAAGAGTATACCGAAATCTTAAAATCGTTTGCGGCATTCATGCAAACAAAATGTTAGTGTTTCCATATATATTTATGGGAAGTATGGGTATGAATGCGTTGAGGCGCATAAAGAATATGATCTCGCGACGGGCATGCACACACACACTTGTAGTCCCCTTGCTACATGTATGAGCATTTGTGACCTGCGTGCGTTACTCTTGCTGCTTGTAGCAATTTTAAAGCCCAGCATTTGCATTTGGTCGGTCTTACGGACTATCATAACCACTTTACACAGATGTACATACTATGTATGAACATACATATGTTCTTAAGTACATTTATATATTATTATTGCTAATCATGTTTATAAATGTGTTTATATCCGTAAATAATTATATATAATTAAAATTATTTTATACACATTTTCAACCGAAAAAACAAGTAAGAACGTTGCAGTCGGGCGATACCGATTGCAGAAGACTCATTCACAGCCCAAACGCTGTCAACCAGAGTATATAGTGCAATTTTCAAGTCTAGTGCCCAGCAAAAAACACGGCATGATGCCATTAAAATTGGAAAATAATCGATAGCTATTGCATTCAAATTACATCCATATATAATTTATACAATTTTGAATTTTATTATATATTTATATCCATACATTGGATACCGGCTTCAAGCTAAAAGCAGATCAGCGCGATTTTCCTATGCTTGTGCACACACTCATCGTCTATTCTATGCGTACAGACAGAAGCGCACCTTTTCTCACATTCTTAGAATTTCGATTGATTTCTGGACTTTCTAGCCGTTACTGTAGTTTTGCCTGATGACGCTCTCTTAATAAGCTATTCTATTTTAGCAACTGTCTGGTAAAGCAAAGCAGTGGTGCGGCTGCTAGAGGCGACGCAAGTAATGTTAGAATAGGAGGTTCGAACCTCTTCGGTGTTTTTTTTTTTTTTTTCATACATATTTCGTTTTTTATAAAATAGATATTTTATTGGGAAGGTGCGAGCTTGAATGAATGGCGCTTAATACTCTTCTTTTTCTTAGTCGAATAATTTTATAAGTTTAAATTTGTTTCTTCTTAAATAGCCCTAAAATCCATGTACGCAAATACAAACATATGTATATATGTAAGTCTGCACGCATAGCATCAAGCATTCCAGCCTTATACACGCGCTCATTTGTATGTGTGTATGTATGTACACATAAATGCGTGCTCTAGCATATTCTAAGAATCCCGTTGCGATTGATTTGTCTTTGTATTGTTTTTGAATTTCCAGCCGCTACACTGGCTTTTCTTTGCTATGTGGCGTCATAACAATAATGTGATTTTGTTTTAACTACTGTTGATCAAAACGACGCGGTGGTGCTTTATTTTAGATATTTTGACATAAACATGCTATTCGGCTTGGGTGCAAGTTCAAATCCCGCGGAAAACTCGTTTTTGTAAATTGCAAATTTTTTTGTTATTTTAGCTTTCTTATATTTTATTAATTTTATAAAAATGTTTCCTTACGCGCTATCAATGCCTATTAAGCCTACTTATGTATGTGTACATATACATAAAAAGATGGCTGACGCATATAAATGTCGCAATTCGGGCACTGTAAATGCCGATTGCCACGCCCCTAGTGGCCGTAGATTCCTCAATTTTATCCAGTTCTTAGAACGAGCAACCGGTTACCTAAATGCAAAATTTGAATTCTTACGCTCAAAAGTTGTCAAAATTACAGGGTATTTTTCGATATGCCACGCCCCTAAAGAGACTTAAAAATTATAAAATTATACATCGATAGAGGAGGCTACCAGTAACTTAACTATCCAAATTTGAAGGTTCTAGCTCTTAAACTGTAGGAGATATAAGCTTTTGCGGTTTGCCACGCCCCCTATGGGCGGACATATATCTACCATAGCTCGTTGGACGTGGGTGGTCAACCCGCGTATATATACAAAATTTCAGGTCTCTAGCATCAATAGTGCCTAAAATATAACAGAATTCGAAAAATCACTATATGTTCAGGTCCGATTTGCCACGCCCTTAGTGGGCGTATATATATCATTTTTTCACCTATCTTCATAGAATTGAAACATCAGCTTACGTGCAAAATTTCAGCATTCTAAGTTTATAACTTTAGGAGATACAGTTTTATCCGATTTGCCACGCCCCCAATAGGCGGAGATATATCCGCCATAGCTTGTGATCTTGGGTGGTCGGCGCGGACCTACATACCAAATTTCAGCTTTCTAGCTCTTCAACAAAAATGATTTCTGGTATATCGGAAAATGCATTTTCCGATTTGCCACACCCCTAGTGGGCAGATCGGGAAAATTTTAACACTTTATAAATCGGAGATATACACGAGTATGTGTTCCAAATTTCAAGTCTCTAGCTTCAATAGCGCCGAAATAGATTGCGTTCATACGGACAGACGGGCGGACAGCAAGACGGACATTGCACAAAACCAATATACTCATTTCACTTTCGTGAATGAGTCTAATTATCGTAAAACACTACTAACTTTATTAAATGCTTTGCAATATATGAAATACACATGTCATATTATACTCAAGCTTTACTCATTGTCGTCATTATAGTCACCCTACGATTCAGATCATACAAAATTTACAAACTACTAAATCCAGAGACATACAAGCATACACATACACAAATGTATGTATGCATGTGCTCACTTCACAAGGCAGACCAACGGCAAATTTTGGGCTTTACAATTTGCACAGGCTGTTGTGCACAGAAAGAATACATTTTCGCGACGAGCATGCACACACACATTTACATCCTTGCTACGTGTATGTGCTTTAGTGTGCGTGCGTCGCGAAACTCAATTCTTCACCAGTTCATCAGTTACAGTCCCGTTTTACATACATGTATGAGCCCTTATGTGTTAGTATGGGACTCTATTCTTGCTGCCTGTGGAATATTGTAAGTATGTGTGTGTATGTATGCATCCCAAGCTAATTGTCTCTGGATTTAGTAGTTTGTAAATTTTGTATGATTTGAATCGTAGGGTGACTATCAAATGGGCCATTATGACTTAATTAGAAATTTTTGACAATAATGAGGAGGAAGAGGGAAGAAACGGCAGTCTAACGCGAAGAAATTTCAATTTTCGTGAGCTGCTGCTTGTGCTCACATGCATACATACATATACATATTTGAGAGACCAAAGAGAGCAGAGAGAGCGAGAGAGCAAGAACAAAAATTGAGCATAGAGGAATCTTTTATTCAACATTTGACCATCTCGGTCGAGCGCATGAAGCGGAATGATTGTACTTTCGCATATTTTCGTAGACCAAACCTAAAAAGTGAAGAGCCGAGCAAAGACGAAATTGATAGGCCCTAGGAGACAGATTTTTCGGTGTTGAAAAACTTTGTACTACATGTCTAGTCTATGTGTTCTCTGGTCAGTGGTTAAACTCAATATCAACCATAAGGTTTAAGGAATTACAGTCTCATTAAAACAGAAACAAATTTTTCTAAAAATTTACATCCGAATTAAGCCGAGATAACAGATGATGTTTTGATTACAAAGTTTTTCTAAACTGCCTCAAATCGATCGCAAGTTACGATTCACAACCAAGAAATATTTAACCATTCCAGTAGAGCGATATTTTTTCACATACTTCAACTTTCGTAGACTATAACTTTTGATATTCGCGAATATTCGCCCAGATCTCTTTTTCATTTAAAAAATGATCTTTTGTGAATCGTCAAGTGTCAAAATGAGCTGCCAATACCTGCACTCATATGTATAGATTATTTTATAGGTATAATGTCTGTATAAAACAAGTAAGAAGGTTCTAGTCCATACTGCTCTGAACCCTCTAAGCTGATACTCTACTTATTCTGCACTTCTTTTATGCATACACACGCACGTATGTATAATCTCGTGCTCTGCTGACTGCGCAGTTAGCAGCGACTGCGCTTGGGCTGCGCTGCAGTGTGGGCAATATTATGAGAGCTTATTTGTTGAATAATTTCTTTTGTAGACATACAATTTTAATGAAACTTTCAAAACGTGATCATATGGTTAAAATGTGTGTACATTCCAAAGCACAAGTAGTACTTGAAATGCGTTTTTACAAAATGGGGGCGAAAGGGGCGTGGTATACAAAATCTGTAAATAACAAAATCTTCGTATCGATCTGTATATACATAGTAAGTTTGGAGTCTCTAGGTCTAAAAGTGTTAAAATTAGGCTGAAAAAAAATCAGTTTTTCAGGTATTCTCGATAAAAA